CTTATCTTTCATAACTCATACTGAGTGACTCAGCATAAAATCCTGATCTAGCGAAGCAGTGAGACATGCAAGAGAACAGTTATACAAATAACCAAGAATATAGTTTGTGCTTTCTAATCCGTTTTTACCCTAGTTCTCGTCCGGTTGATTTTCCATTGAAGTTGGAAATCTCCAGAGACGCTGGAGATCTACCACTTCAAATCCTGGAGATGACAACAAAATTGGAAACATCCAAGCTTCTGGAAAAAATTTGACTTGCAAGATCACTAAGATACAAGCTATCAGATGTAAACTAAAATGTTGGGAGTCAGTGATCAAATAATTTGAGAATCTCAGATGCTCATCGAAACAATATTATAGAGATGCATAGTTATTACTAGAAAATAAACAACCAATCCTACAACTTCATAAGACATCATATCCGAACAGAATCAAATAGAGCTTATTCATTAAAAGTCAAAAGTTCTTTATGCAGCAGCAGATACATTGATCACCCCATTTTTGTGGGAGCTTTGTGCATTGGAAATAACAAATGACAAGAGTGAAAATTGAAAAGGCAGAAAATATAGTAAAAGGTCAGTGAAGTACAGAATACAAATTGCATAATTCAGACATCTTAGGCGAGATGGTAGATGTGTTTGATGCACAATAAAAAAGACACCTAAAAGGTTATGCCTCAGCATATAACAAGCACCTGTATATAACACAGGAGTGAAACAAAATTCAGCAATAAGAATATTATATCATAGGAAAATGCATAATAATTCAGACCTTCAAGAACCAAGCCATAGTACATCATAAAGAGCATATTGTTCCAAGGTGAGGCAGTAAGTTGTTCCAACAGCACCTGAAAAGATTAGGCATTCTATAATTAAAGATCATCAACATCAATATTTCCACCAAGCAGAGAAGTATGGACCAGTGCATATCATAATGTCAGATATGAACAAAAAATAGCGACATAATTACCTTTTTGGCAACAGTGTCCTTTCCTTTCTTTCCCTTGAAAAGCCTTTCCATAAACTTGTGCAGAAAATGACCAAATGGTCCGGCATACACAAAGCCATAAAGCTGCAGAATGTTCACAAGACAAATTATGTGTTAAAGAAATGCACAATCGAGGACCGTGACATGAATTTTGTTAATTAACCGCGGTATCGATCGAGTAAAGAGGCCACAAACGCACGCACCAAAAACAGAGACAAAGGGTTTAATCGACCAAAAGAATTGAAGGTATCGTACCATGAGCAGAAACATCCTTCTCAACTGGAGCCTCTTGACCCCGGAGATCTTCTGTGCGATCGCATCACTGCATCCAGCCAACACCCCTGAAGTAATAGCCTACCGAGAAGCAGCAGAAGATCGAACCCAAAGAGCGAAAGACAGAGAGGGCAAAAGAACAGGGACAGAGAAAAGTGGGAAAAGATCCAACCTTTGTTCTCAGGGGATGGGCTTGGAGTTGCTGAAGGTAGCGCTGCCACGCTACAGTCACGATCTCTGACATGTCTGTAAACACCAGGAAGAAGAAGAACAGCGCACCCTAGGCCTCAAAGAGAGTCGGTCAACGACGACGGCCGATCGAGGAGCATTCTTATAACATCAAGCCACCGGCCGTCGAACATTAGAAGCAATCCATAATGACATTTATTATTATTATTCTTATTATTATTATTTCCATTCAAAGAGGGCCCAGGCAATCACATGGTAGGCTCCACATTGCGTGAAACACGAGGCGTTTATTTTGGTTCGCTTTGGGTTCGGCGTATGGTTCGGAGCGTGTAATGAAAGAAATGGGTCGGACACTACTCGACTGCGTGGAATGCGTGCAGTAGAAAACAAAAGGCGTTGACTTTTCTGATTCCAGACAAAATGATGCGGCCGTACTTAGCTAATAATAGTGAGGTCAGCCTTCGTGTTGGCGTTGAGTGCAATTGGACGCACCACCCCGATCCAGCCCAAACATTAAATATGACACCTACCCACTCGATTTGCCTCCCCGGGACAGGGATGCGTTCATTTTGGGTCAACGTTTAGTCCAGTTGGAGCCACAATATCTTGTAAATTCTAATATATTTAAAGAAGTGTTTTGAGGGAAAAAAAACTGGAGTGTGAATTCTTATTTTTATTTTCTTCTCGTAAAATGTCTCTACTTCTTAAAAATCCAACATTATCATCTCTTGTTTTTACTCCTCTCTCTCTCTCTCCTCTCTTTCTACGGTGGTTCTTTTGGTTCAATTTAACATATTAAGAATCGATCCAACGAATTAAACCAAAATAAATTTATAATAAAAGTTAAGTAGTATTAAAATATATTAAAATTAGAAAAATATTTTTAGAATGCATAAAATTTAGGATGAATTCTCGAAAAAACCCTCTAGATTTTAAAATTTTTCACAGTGTATCCCAATTTTAAAAAATTCACGCAGAGTATATGATAATATTATTTTACCCATACCTTCGTCGGATCTACCATCGCTTTCGTCGTGCACTGTCATCGTACCTCTCCTCTCCTCTGCCAAGAACAACGATCAAACGGGGGGTTGCGAGCCCTTAATCATACCTTCGCTCCACATAATTGTCTCGTCGCCCATGATGCATTAAGATGCCTCGAGCATGAGCCCACCCATCCTCCTTCCTCTTATACTATCGATGATGAGGGAGGCTTACAAGTAACAACAATGGTAAAATTAGCTAGGGAGGTGCCTAAGGTTGACATCACTTGTTCATCGCCCAACGGAGATTCCAGCAAAGCAAACACATGAAGATGACTAATGATAGAGGTAACCAAGGGTAAAATTAGAATTTATGAAAAAAATTATGCTTTATGAGAAATTTTTAAACCTATGAGGTATTTTTGGGATTCACCCTAAAATTTATAATCCATGCCTTTTTTTAAATAATAATTAAATTTATATAAATATTCAAATTAAATTTAAATTATACTATATTTAAAAATATAAAAATATTATCAAATATTATTTAAAATTAGAACATATGAAATTTAATGTTCATATATATTATTAATTATTTAAAATTATTAAATTTTTTATTAAATTTTGAATTTTATTTTAAAAATAAAGATACTAGTTAAAAAAATGATTCGGTTTAAATTTATTTGATCCATTTTGAATTTTTTTTAATTAAATCCATAGCTAAAAAAAATAGGAAAGGCAAAATTAAAAAGTTGAAAAAAGAATATCTAGGAGGTAATAACTAACATACAAGAGCTTTTAAAATGAATTGGTCGCATAGAAAAAGAATTACGTTTATGTCTTGATATGGAATATATTAACGATCAATTATCATTCGATATATAAGCATCAAGTATAAGCTATCATAGAAGGAAAATATCTATATCACCCTTCGCTTGTTTGCCCGTGTGGACAAAAGTTCAAGACGAGTCGTTTGGAGCTTTCTTCCCCTTGTCGCCCACGTGGACAAAACACCAAGAGAAAAATGTTAAGAGTAATTACATGATGTGTATAAAAGTGAATCTCTTATACTATGTTGAGGGGTTCTCTTTTCAAGAAAAATCTATACCCACTAAAAGACATCGGTGACTAACTTGAGTGTCAAAGGAACTATATCAAGAAATTACCCCAATATCAATCTAAGCACAGGTGGTGCCTTGGAATCTCAATACTTCCACCTTAGAGCCACCTTGATCATGACCTTGAACACTCTTATGCCCTTATATTTGAACCACGTTAAGTCAACTAAAATGTTGATAATGATTTCTCATAATATTTTTGGTGTTAGAGGAGAGCTTGGTGTCATAGAAACATCCACCCATCACTCCTCCCAACGAATGCTCTAGTAAGGAGACATTGCCTTCGACCAATAGTACTTTTACTCAGAGGGGGTAGGTGTCATCCTTTCCATAAGTGGATGCATCCACTACAATGCAAACATCAACGTAGTACTGGCATCTATTCAATGAATTAAGCCTCTCGCCTCCAGAGATAACCTTGAGCCACCTACTTGTCTCCATCGAGGTGTTCATATATCTTATCCAATAGGTGAAGATGCTAATGGGCATGATACAAGCTATCGCTTATGTTGGAAAATTTTAAGGCGACATCACATATATAGCGAAAGAATAGAAAAAAAATCTTATATTAAAAAAAAAAGTTTCATCATCATGTAAAGATTGGTGTGCAAAAGTTGTAAAATTAAAAACTACACGAGATATGTGTTACCTAGGGAGATCATATATCTATAAGATCTTACAAATTTATTTGAGAGGATAAAGGAGGTCAACTATCCTCCTTTATAGTGGTAATCCACACGATAAGGGCTACGAATACTCAAATCATTGCACGATCTCCTCGTTGTGTGCACCACGTAATTAAAAAGGGGCCAGCCCTTCTTATTGTCCACATGCCCCCAAATAAAGGGTTGTTGGCTGAGAGAGAAGGGGAGAGGAGAATAGGAGGTGGTGGCCAAAATGGTTTAGTTTATGGTCCTTTAGTTCTCTCATATTTATAGAGGTCCCCTATCAACTTAACCTTAATAGATTATGCCCTATTGGATATTAGATCTCCATCCAACTACCCAAGCCTCTTAGATTAGTAGATCTCTATCCAATAATATTTTATTAGCTCTTATTGGATCTTATCCATATAATCCAATAATTTAGGGGCTTATTGAATATCTAATAAGATAGGGGCTCCAACGGATAACTCATATCCGAACCTTTACTCGTTGCAACACCTACCATATGTATGTGAACCTCTAGGCCCAATATTGATTTAGCTATGAGTCATACCTGTCAGAACTCTTTCTAACTTAATGCATTATTATCTCTATAATAATTCACTTGACTCATTGACTATAGACGTATTAGGCCACTACGTTGTAGCCTCATACGATACAGAAAAATTCAATCTATTGGGTCAGTCTATCCTTAGTTACCGTGTATCTGTAGTCTCTTATCAATCTAATATCTCAAAAACTATATATCGGGCATGGTGCTGTTAGATCTATATGATTTCTACTTGAGTCTCGCTCTAATTAGATCTCTCGAAGAACTCTTTATTTCTCAATCCAAATGACTCTAGCTAGAGATTTGCTTTAGTAAGAACACATAAGATATTCTTCTCATGACACTGAGAATGAATGATCCTCTATTGACACTAAATAGCCCTCATAAAGTTGGTTACTACTCCCGATGACCGATTATGTTAGATTTGAAACTTTCAGATCTATAAATTTGATATCAAAGAGTCGAGTACTCATGCAGGATATCCTTGGTGTCTCAAGTCTAATGAGCAAATATACTACTATGACGGCGAAATCGCTATCTGACAATGAGATATCATCAACCATCCAATATTTCATGAGTGGATTAATTAGTAAACTTATTCTCTAACGTGCATCTACATGGTATCCCTAGTATTCTCACACGAGTAGCTATGAGACTAATCGTCTCAATCATATAAACGGGTATACAATATACCAGTCTATCCAGTCACCTTGATGTCCCTCTCGAGTGATCTATGATCGGGATTATTTAAGGTCTCATTTATCATAATCTCAATACAATCTAATTTTCATTTCACGGATGGATAAACATCATAATATGTGTAATAGGTAATATAAAATAAAAAATATATCAAATAAATAATAATAATAAATTTGTATCATATCACACATGTCATCAATCACATGCTTATATATATATATATCGTTTGATATATAGTATCGTATGATATCGAGAAGGTCAAAACTTCGATACGATATAATATTTCAATAAATCAATGTGTTGTTTGGTTTCTACCACCTTCAGACTCGGACAAACAACCCAAGGACTGAGAAGTTTTGTTTATTGCTGGTTGTTACTGTTATAGTTAGTGAGAAACCTCTATGAGGTTTTGATCGCAGGCTGCTCCAAGGCGGTTAAGGATGTTGCTTACTCAATTAACGAGGAAGAGGAGGAAGAGCCTCCCAGAGTTAGACCCGTCGAATGGTACTGAGGTGCTTCCTTCTAGAGCAACCTTGAGGTCAGACAACCAGGAGATGTCAAAGGAAGAGTTGCGGAGACAGCACCAGGCAGAGCTTGCTCGACAAAAGAACGAAGAGACTGCCAGGTGGCTGGCTGGTGGTGGGTCTGCAGCTGCAGAAGGACGAGGTCCAGTGAGAACTTCAAGTGAGCTGATTGCTTCCAAGAATGTAAATGATTTCTTACTCCAAGGAACTAGCAATACAAGTAGATCGGAAGAATGAGCCTATTCTATTACCAATATATGGAAGCATGGTTCCCTTCCTGTTTCGACTGTGAAGAGTGTGACCTCCCATCAGGACAATCGGACTTGCACTATCCGTATAATGTCTAATGTACTTGGCTCCCCATTTAGTCCCCATGACACGAATTCTCCTTAGTTTCAATGTGCAATTTGTTTGAAAGAGATTACATTTTGGTCCAAAGATCGTAGGCATAGGAGTGAAGTGGTGGTACATCTAATCAATACACTCGGGAGGCATGTCACATCCAGGGACTTGTGGATACGTCCCCCATTTGCCGGTCATGGAAGGAAGCTTGCAGGCACTTTGGAGGCTCATCTTGAGATACCAAAATTGAAGTCCACCAACTGTGCATATCTATCTGACCATGTTCTTGCTTTGTTAGTGCTATTTTTGTGTGGACGGAGCGTTTGATGGAAGTTTCATGTGATATCCATACATTCTTGAACGTATTATCAACATTATCCTAAGTGTGTTTTTGCTAGAGCTGTATTAGATCTTTAAGTGTTATCCCTTTCTTTCTCATATTGAATGATGTCAATACTATACACGCAATAGTAAATCAAATTAAGGCTTCCAATCTGAGCATCGCTTTGTGTCTTCCAACCTTTGTTCCCAGGAACTCTATTTTATATTATTATTTTATTCTTTATTTTCAGCAGGTTTTGCCGACCTGGCATTACATATCTTACGTGTGCGAAGTCATGTGTCAATTCCGGTGGCGAGCAGCGTGTTATTGATTCGAATTCGGGTGCGGTAGTTAGATCCGACCCGGCGACAAAACGAACAGAGTCAAGCCTATGACGAACCATATCCAACTGGTTGCACCCAATCGCATTCGGTTCCATTCTCGGGTCAAAGTGGAAGCATAAAGAGGCAGTGCGAGTGGTATAGCCCGCCGCTAGGGTTTCCGACTACATCAATCGCGTCTCTGATCTCGGAGGGAGTTCTTGGCGTCATTCCGCGGCGCGGCGTTGGAAGTCTCAGGATCCATGGGCAACTTCAGGGTAATCCCATCTGTTCGGTCCAAATCCGAAAAATCGGAGCTCTTCTCTTGTTGGTTGAATTCCTTGCCACCCACAATAACTAAATTTAAGTGTGCTTTTATCGATCAGATGAGGCTGAATCAAAGGCTTCTTAGGTGTTTTGTCATAGTTAAATTTAGATTGTTTCATTTTATTTGTTGCATCTCATCATTATATTGTTCGATTTCCACAAAAGAAAAGAAACTGGTTAAATCGATCTATGCTTCGCTACGGACTCCTACTATTGCCCTATGTTGATGTTCCTTGTGTGTAGCTTTCTCTTTCTGGCTTCTTTTTTGTGGTTAATGGTGTATTTGATTTGTTTATGATGCCGGGTGGTGGCAGTTTCATCAGTATCAGGTGGTGGGTCGAGCTCTCCCGACTGCCACGGATGAGCACCCGAAGATTTACCGTATGAAGTTGTGGGCTACTAATGAAGTTAGAGCTAAATCCAAGTTCTGGTAATTTATGTTGGATCCTACCTTTTGGTTCTATGATTTGATTGTTGAATATATCAAATCTCCACTTTTAGCATGTTTGGTCATTGTTGTTAATACGTTTGATCTTCTATCATGAGAAATTCAGGTACTTCTTGAGGAAGCTGAAGAAAGTGAAGAAAAGTAATGGCCAAGTTCTTGCAATTAACGAGGTTTGTTTTGTCTTCTTTGTTCCCTTTGCTCAGACATGTTCTGTTTCTCCTCTGGACACGATGTGTGTCACTAACATATGAAGCTATCTTTTTTCCTTGTTAAATTTTGATACCGAAATTTTATTCATTGGACTCACAATCACATTGATGAAATGATTGATGGACCTTCTTGGTGTGGGTACTTATAGAAAAACCTCAGTACATTCATTGAATAAACACAAAGGTGAAGGGTTATAGTTACTTGTAGTGAATGGTAAAGATAAATGAATACATGTATTTGTCAAATATTATATAGATAAATTATTCTGCTAAATAAATAGTTGAGATATGAGGGGCTAAATTTCTTCGTTAGCATCGCAGTTTATGATGCTTCAAAAGCAAGCATGTAAGATGGAACAGTGGCTTCTTACATTAAAACCCAATTACACAGTCCTTATCCATGCCTAATTTTATAAAAAGTTTTAGGTATTTGCTTTTAGTTTCAATTTTTCAATTGGAAAACTTGGTTGGGACTCTAGAATATTGTTGAAAACTTCTGTAACTTAGTGAAATAGGGAGGAGAACCCCCCAACCTCCTCATTCCTCTTATTTTTCAATATTTGACAATCTCTCGAGCACCATTAGTTTCCACATCTGACCCTTTTCTCTGACATGATATCTGGGTGAATATACTACATCTGTGGACAACCACTTCTGCTCACATGAACTACGATCTTCTTTGGCATTATATCTGGGTTGATATGCTGCATCTCTGGACAACCACCTCTTGTCACTTGAATTAGGATTCAATTTTCTTCCCTTCTAAGGCGAGTAAGGCTATGAACTGAATCGATCAAAGGACAGCTTGGTTTACAGATCAGTGATCTGTTTGGTTGTAGATGATAGGCAAGAATATCTTGGGAAGAGTCACCAACTACGTCATCAATGAGATACCCATTGATGCCAGCAATCAACATCCTGATTGCTTTGTTTTTGAAGTCATTGTTTAGGTTTTGTGTTGATTTGTTTCATAAATTGGATGTTTGTTTTAAATTATAATTCTATTTTTTTTTATTTTGATATTGTTACTTTTAGATCTTTCTAATACTGTTTCTTTCTAGTATTAAAAAATTTATTTTATTTTTGTGTTCTTGTTGGGGAGAGTGGGAGGATTTATGCTTCTTAATGTGGTCAATGGGCCCCCTCATTTTTCTCATTTAATATTTTCCTTTGAAGCTATATTATGATCTTTCATTCAAACTCTCCTTTTGTATATCAATACACGGAAAGATGCTTTTGTGTGTCTCCAGAGTTTAGGCACCTCTTTAGTCTACTCTAACCAATCAAGAGGGATGCTTTATGTTAGACTATTATGCTGATATCAGGAATAATCTGTACATCATGATATAATCTCAATGGGTTTCTTTATTATCACAGAGGCTACTGCCTTTTCTCATTCGACTAGTAAGCACAATAAGTCACACATATGAATGATTCTTGGACATGGATTTAAAATATTGTGAGTTTGGTCAGTGAATGTTTCATGTCTTTGGTTATGGTAGGCATTAAATTGTGGTATTATTAAATTCTGAACTTTTTTAACTGAGTATTTGTGGCAGACGCTGATGTGTGTTTAAAGTGCGAGTTGTATTAGTTTTTATACTGTCTAAGAAATTTTGGTTCAATGCACATGTCCACGGTAAGTCTTGCAGACGGCGAGGCTGGCATCTTCTATGTCGAGCTCCTTGTCATGTGATTTTATCATGGGTTTCTAAAAGATTGAAACCTCCTCATTTCGGTGGGCTGTCAAATGATCTGGGCAGTCCTTGTGGCTGTGACAGCTCAAAAACAGCCTAAGTTGGGCTGTCAAATGATGCACTGAGGAATGACATGCCAGTTTTAATGGACTAATAGATTGAAATGTTTATGAAGTACATATTGGCTCCATGAGATTACAACCGTGAACTTCTGCATGACTTAACATAAATTTACCAACTAATGTTAAACAAATATAGACATTCTAATTGCTGAAGGCATGACATTTAGAAATATCTAGGATAGTTATTCACTTGATTACATATCATTAAACAATTTTGAATTACATAAAATGTTAGGTTTGCAGAGATATTTGACTCCATGAGATAAGTATTAAGACGGGAGACCCATGTGGACAAGGATTTTTGTCAAATGATTTTGAAACTCATTGAGATTGATGCAGGTTTGATTCTATCTACAGAAATGTATGTCAGAGGTAGTACAAACAAACAACATGAGTTAGATGTGTAACAAAACAATTGTTTTGTGACCAAGATGGTTATATTTTAATGATTACGCAGAAGTAACTCATTTTCCGCAAATGCATTTCACTGTGTGATCAATTATAATCAGCAGCAAGTTACATTGTGTATATAACACTTTTTGTTAAGGATCCAAAATTATTTCGTCTCCACCATAGAATAACCTGTTGTGTCTGTATATATTAAGCGTTGTCTAAAGAATATAAAGATACCTCTAGTAATTGGGCAACCGCCTGCACTCATCCAAGCCCTTGAGCGGCAATTTGGTCTGAAATCATACAACCAAAGCAGTGCTTTTTAGGATGCTAATTCTATTTGTCATACAAACCAAGGAGCTGATCTTATGCTGTGTTTTATCAGATATTTGAGAGGAAGCCAACAAAGATCAAGAACTATGGTATCTGGCTGCGGTATCAGAGCAGAACAGGTTACCACAACATGTACAAGGAGTACAGGGACACTACACTGAATGGCTCTGTGGAGCAGATGTACAATGAGATGGCATCTCGCCACCGAGTCAGGTGCCACTGCATCCAGATTATTAAGACGGCAACCATTCCTTCCAAGCTCTGTAAGCGTGAGAGCACCAAGCAATTCCATGATTCTAAGATCAAATTCCCTCTTGTCTTCAAGAAGGTCAGGCCCCCTACCAGAAAGTTGAAGACTACTTACAAGGCCTCCCGTCCTAACCTATTCAAGTAGGGGAGAATAAGAGAACACATTTTCCTAAAATTTTTGCTATTGGCATATTTCCCATTCTGTTATACTTTGTTCGTGCATCGTTGGATCACTTTTTACTAGTTCATGATACTCTTCGATCTGCAGCAAGTCTGAGAGTTTGCTTGTCTGGGGTACTTTTTCCTGTTTAGAAGCGTATGTGATGATATCTTATGAATTGGATTCTTTTAGCTCAGTTAAAAATTTAATGCTTTGTTGTTCTTATATTAATTAATTAGTGTTGATGATAGAGATAGTCCTTTCTCGAATTGGCTTTCGAACAAGGCTGAAGGAATAGCTTGCCTTGTGCTTATTATATCAATTTTTCTCTGAGAAGCTTTGTTTTCTAAGATACGCAAATAAAAGGCAAAACAGGAAAGCAGCCCGGCGATGCTTTGCTGAAGCATTTAAGCAATTTTCTTATGTAGAAGCTTTCGATGCCTCGAGCGAGCTCCTCTTGGATAGCGTTACAGAGTTGTAAAGAGGACTACGGATCGACTCATGCTCGAGGAATTTGTTGCACTTCTCCGGTAGCATGGCACTAGAGTGTCGTTCCATCAGACTTGACTTCTTGCTTGTATTAATACTCGATTCATCGATCATATATGAGCCCGCAGGCACTAACTAACTAAAAGTGATATACTTGATCATAAAATTCTTAAACAATAAATGAAATGCTTTAAATCAGGAGGCCTCGGTTACACGATACTTGTCGAATGAGCCATGTGCTATTGCCTAAATGCCAGTCCCACAAAACGTATATACACATGGATGAAGAAGAGGAAGAGAAAAAACACCGACAGCTTTATCATAATCGGTGGCTTCTTACGCCTCGAGCGAGCGGGCGAGCGGCAAAGGGCTCAATTGGGCCCGCGAATGAACCGATATCCCCATCATCCGAAACAAGAGATCCATAAACCAAGTCTCTTTTATCTTTTTCAATTTTATTTTCAGCTATGGAGGCCAACGTCGCTTCCTCCTCTTCTTCTACCTTCGCCTCTCGTTCGCTTCTTCTCGCGGTCTGCGGCGCTCGGATCAATATCAGCAAGAAGAACGCTAACCCCCATCACCACCGTTATTCTTTCCCCGTCCGAAATCCTCCCGGTTGTCCCCTTGTAAGCAAGGCAACTCCATGTTTTCTTTTGTCACTTCTTCCGCTGCTTCCTTTCGTTAGGTCTTTGGTTTCCGAGTCTCTCTAGTTTCAATATTACAGAGAAGAAAGATCTCGTTGCGGTCTATAATGGACCGGAGAAAATTTTTATTAAAAACTTAGAATCTCCGCCTTTACAAGCACACGGCGTTCCTTTCTAACCAGATTCGGCTGCTTAAACTAGGATTTATCAGGGGATTTGATGAGGAAATCCATCAAATCTGACCAAGATCAACGGATGTACTATGGTCGTGCATTAGGGTCGGAGGTAAATATATTTGCTGGAGGACAATAGCATACTAGATTAAGTTTTCAAGAGTCAAGACTATCGCAAACCTTCCATTTTCTTTGCAATTTCTTGAATATTTTATCAAATATTTCTTAAACTGTCCAATTAATATTATTGTCATGCATATGAATAAGCTTACACACTCGCACACACACAACAAAAGAGAAAAGAAAGAAAAGAACAATAGATTTCTCAGTAGAAAAAAGCAATCAAGATTATCATAGACCATAAAGTTTTCTTTTCAATCTTGTTTCTTAACTTTCCATATATGAAAAACGAGCTGCTTAGTTTTCGATTTGCCACACTGTGTAAATCAACTTTAAATAGGACTATTCTTTTCTACATATGCAACTTAATGTCTCTTCTATCCTACATTACTCTATGGTGTTGCATTTTTTTTATATGCCTCTTTATCAGGTTCTGTGGAAACTTAAAGCCCATAGTGTCAATGTTGGCAATTTTGCTGTCCCACTTCAGTGTGCAGCCTTTGGCTCTAAGAGAAGAACAAAATTCTATAAAACCATAAGAGGTGCTGGTGAAACTTTGTTATCTAGCTCCATTCTACAGACATCATGGGGACTCAAGAAAATACATGCTTGGTATGTACCATCACCATTCAGCTTTGGCAATCTCGTGGGAGTCCATGCCAAGATTCAAACGCTAATAAGTCGGAAAAAGGAATTCAAGCACAATATCTGCATTTTTTTCACTCGCGTGGTCATCACTGCGATGCTTGCCATATCATTGTCGGTAACTATCAATAAGTCACCCGCATGTGAGTCAATTTATCCCAACTTAGCAATGCATCACAAGTGTGAATTTGTTGATAATCCTTGTACATGACTTTATTGCAGGGGCACTTACTGAAGAAAATCTCCTTTTTCTTGAGGCATGGAGGACAGTGGATCGTGCATACGTAGATAAAAGCTTCAACGGGCAAAGTTGGTTTCGTTATCGGGAAAATGCACTTCGCAATGAACCAATGAATACACGGGAGGAAACATGTAGTGTTATGTTGGTTCTTTTTTTGAATCATTCTAAACTGTCCTCACATTTTTAGACTTTATCATATTTACTCTAGAAGTACAATAGCTGTCATAAACTGCACAAATTAATGATGTGTGGAACATGTTTTCTTGAAAGTTAACAAAATACTAACTGTTCATTGTCTTAATTGACATTGCTAGTCATATTATGTATCTAGATATGCATGAAATGCTATTTTAACTGCAGTATCAAGTCAATTTGTTCAAAAAGGAAAACAGAGTATCACTTCACAAGGAAATACAAAGATAGTTGATGAGCTTTAGAAAATGCCAGCTGAAGCTTAAGCTTTCGATAAGACACTGATAGGAAAAAATATCTAGCATGGAGATCACTCCAAATTTAATGCACGCTTCTATTTGGTGACTATGCTCTTATTTAAAGCAAGCTATTGGTTGATTATGAAATTCGTACTAGTTTGAATGTATAACAACAGATTTGTTGCTTCATTGGTGTGAGTTAATTTGGTTTGGTTTTTTGTGAAAGCCATTTCATACTCTTTTTCAGATAGGGCAATAAAGAAAATGCTTTCAACACTGGATGATCCTTTTACCCGCTTTCTGGAACCTGAGAAGTTCAAGAGCTTGCGGGTATGACTTTTTGTGCAGAAGTATACAAGCTATCAAAATTGTTATTGATATTGAAGTTCAAACATGTTCTTGGTCTAATTCTGAGATGTAAATATGAAGGCAGTCTGGCACACAAGGTGCTCTTACTGGTGTAGGACTGTCAATCGGCTATCCTTTAGTGCTCAATGGATCGCCTACAGGGCTTGTCGTTGTCTCATCAGCTCCAGGAGGTCCTGCTGACAAAGCTGGCATTGTATCTGGGGATATCATCTTGGCAATTGATGATGAAAGTACAGAAGACATGGATATATATGATGCTGCTGAGCGGCTACAGTAAGTATCTTAGTTACAGTTATGTTAAGCTTGACAAGATCTTGTGGAATATGTTGTCACATTTTCGCAATAACAGTTTGCAATTTTTATTCTGTTGAGCTTCAAGTAAACTGTGCTGAGTTATTCAAATTTTTCGTAGAAACACTTTTTAAACTTTAATTGACATGGTTGAGTGCATTTTGCTTATTTTCAATTTCATGGCCATAAGAAATTTGAATTGTCGATTTACATTGTGAAGAGTTTGCATAAGTCTTTTAATGTTTTATCTCGTTAAATCCTTGTTTATACCATCTCCTTGGATTTTGTCATGTAACCTGTAAATCTGTTGTTAAGTGGATTTATATTTCGCTGGCTTCTAAACCATGATATGTTCTCTGGTTCATTGATTAGTTGTTAGTACAGAGTACTCCAATTGTCTTATTTGGTTGATTTTCTAATGTACAAATATTATGCAGGGGAACTGAAGGAAGCTCAGTAAAATTAGTCATTCACAGTGGACCTGAGATTAAGGACGTGGTCCTGAGGTAATATATGCACATATCATAATTGATTAATTCATATTTAGGTCTGATGAATCTTATGAGCTGTACTATTCTTAGATTTGTGGTCCTTAGTTAATGCATACATATTTGTTTTATTTGGGCCTTCCAGAAGTCCTATGTTTGTCTAGTTTTTGCTTATGTTTAAGAATTATGGCTAGGCGTGAAAAAATTACATTCAACCCGGTCAAGACAAGGCTGTGTGAGATTACAAGATCAGGAGCAGAGAAATCCAGGATTGGGTACATAAAACTGACATCCTTTAATCAAAATGCCTCGGGTTAGTATTTATATCCTCATAATTACATATCTGAATGAACTGGTCCAATCATTCCTTATCCGCAATAAGTTCAATATAAATTGTGTGCTTGAAAAAATTAGTACACTCTCTGAGGATAAGTACTATGTCAACTGTCAATATATACCTAAATGTGGCATCAATTTGGAAAAAAAGAAATCTAATGGTTTGAACACCACCTTATGCTTTATAGTCATTCAGGAAATTTCATTTTTACTTGAACATCATCTTGAGTTTGTCTCTGTCATTTATCTATTGCATTGTCTATATGTTGATGTTTTATCTGAGCTGGCTCTGATGTTGTTGTTGTTGCGAGGTGTTGCTTACCCAAAGAGTCTATTAAAGAAACATTGACAACATGGTCAGTTAATTAGGGCCCTAAGAAAAGCCCTCCTATATTTGGGGCAATAATAACTTACCATATTGCTACCGATGTATTTGATGCTGTCTCACAACTAGATGAGGGTTTCACCATGATGCACATTAAATCCTGGCTTGAACCACATGCCTGAGTGGTGATGTTTTGATATCATTTGTCATGACCCAAACAGTTCATATGGTGTGCCTGCAACATGGCCCAAAAAATTTAAATCCAAATTACCTAATGATAATTTGCTCAAGTTGCTAGATAAGTCCAATTCTTTTGCCTTCACACAGATGTTGATTCTCGAGAGATTGTAGACTGTTTAATGCTGACAACATAATATATCAGATAGTACCAAACAATATGCAGTTGTGGTTCCAGCATATGATGATTTTACCAAATTACCATAGTCAACTTTGATCAGCACCTTTTAATACCTTATGTGCCATAACAAATTTTCCAACAAGTGGAGAAGTTTGGCATGTCAAAAGTTTCACTGTGTATCTCGCAACCAAACTTTAGACATCCTAAAGTCTCTTATGCCTTTTAAATATTCAGACATGATGCTATTTTTTTTTTTCGCTGTACACAACAATCTGTATCTTAGGTCTCTCTCTATATATATTTTGCTGTTTACATTGCATTTATTCTCATCTAATCATCTTCTGAAATAAAATTTTAAAATGAGACAGTGAGCTTCATTGATAAAATTTATCCAATTTGAGATATAATTTGTTTTTATAATTCCCTTCCTAATTCTACACTACAATCTGCTGAAGGGTGATTGTGGTCAAAGCAACAATTAGCAAGAGAAAGAGCCACTCCCTTATTCACCTTAGTTTATGTACAAGGAACCCTTCCGTATCAGTGATATAAATCAGGCTCATGGATTGGGAGTTTGACCTCCATCATATCATGAAGACTGAAATTTCTTGTGAAAGAAATAGGCAGCACATGATGAGCAGAATCGCCCCAAGGAACACTGGGATTAGAGAAAACATTAACAAAACCATGATAAACAGGAGGAATTATCTGCCGTTTCCATGTTGTGGAGATTAATAGGTTTAAATTATCATCAATGTGTCCCTCAGTTTATCATAATTTTTGTTAAGTTATTTAAAACAATGAAAAGATTCTCAACTTGAAGAAATGCATTTTTATGTTTCCCTTATGTTTATGCTGGTTTCCATCATGTCTTCTTCTCTGGATACTGCCAATGATATTAACAGATGAAATATCCTTTAAGCAGCTAAGCCTAAATGATGCATCTGTATTTGTCCACATGCTAAACAATTGTCTTCATTCTTTTAAAATATTATATTAATTAATTATTTACTATTTGACAGATCATATGTGTATTATTCTTGTGCAATCTTCAAACCTTGAATTATTATGTGATATATATATGTGTGTCTTTGAACATTTTGTGTGCAGGAGCAGTCAAGGATGCCATAGAAACTTTAAGAAGCAATGGTGTGAAAGCCTTTGTGTTGGATCTCCGAAACAATAGGTAATCCTTTGTAGGAAATATTGATATTCTTTGGATAACTTCTGGATTTTGATACACCATCTTTTGTACAGTGGTGGCCTTTTCCCAGAAGGAATCGAGATTGCAAAAATTTGGTAATCTTCTTCAGATAGCTTATTCCTTAAAATATTAGGCTTTATTTTAAAAAAATCGCCAAACCATTTATGAATGCATATAGTCTTGTATCTGCAGCAGATGTAGATTTTTTGTTATAATAGTTCATTTCAGCTACAGAAAATACTGCTTGGTTGTATATATGTGAGGCCTCTTTTTCTAACTTTTTATTGTCTTACAAATTTTAAAATACAATACAAACAAAGAGTCCCAGATTGGGTTCATATCCTCCTAGAACAATGCAAAATACACACATTACAGACGTACATTGCAACTAGCAAACAAAAAAACTGCCATTCAAGGCCCAACTACCAACCAGAAACAATTAAAATCAATAAATTTAAAGAAATAAAGCGAACCAACATCCACCAGCCCCATCCAGAAAAATGCTGCAAAGGACCAAAACATATTCACAAACTACTATGTTCCAGAATCTCTTGTAAATTACAGCAGAAAAGTAGAAGCAAAACTCCATACTTCTAAAGAAAGAGACACTCATAATCCAATACACTGTAGTCTTCCAGACACAGCATTGACAGAAAGCTCCAAGTAGATTTCAACGTCTCATGATAGTTGCCTCAGAATGCAACAAAGGAAAATTAACCTACTGAATCAAGAATCTTAGAGATGATGTAATCAGAGGAAAAATAAATTGCTTGAACAACCTTTTATTTCTCTTCATGCAATTAGCATATTAGCATATGCATCAGCTGCCTTAAGGCATTTTTTAATGCCAGCAATCAAGTTTTTACTCACATAATAATGGATAACCATCTATATTCCCGGTTTATTGGTAGATTAGCTCTAGTGAAACTGCAGGACTTGCAAAATCTCTTCCCTGATTTTACTGGTAACAAATAGGTGAAGAAGAAGTGGTTTTCAAATTGGTTGTGAACTTGACATAAATATAATTGGTCTCATTATTCTTCTCCATTGTCTTGTTTATAGTTTTCCTTTAGCAGCCTATTAAAGGGAAAAAGAAGCCTTGTCATGAACTCTATTTTTATGCCAAACAAGGCTTTAGAAGCTGCAATTGGTAACAGGAAGTCATCCATGGGATCAGATCAGTTGGATTGGATGATACAGATTCGAAGACTGGGTTTCATTCCTTGGTTCAACTTTTTAAATCAATACATTGAAATTGAAAATTTTAAGTTTGAAGCTAACATTCATATTTTTTTATCACCACTTTCAAAATTTTGATGATGTGGTACTCTTGTAAAATTTTAATTTCATATATGCACTATTTTATGGTTTTATAATATGCTACCATTTAGTTATTGTATATGCTATTTTATAATATTGTGCTTGCTGATTGAAAATAATAGACACCAAAATCTTTGGTGCTGTTTAGGGTCGGCTATGTCTGATCTTAGATCCAGTCTGATTAGCAATGACTGATTTTCAAAACTATGATGTTAATCTACCTTATACCACCAAGTAGGACTCTATTTGTCTTATATGATTCCAAGCAATGAAGATAATAAATGAATGATTCTGAGTAGGAATGGATATTACAATTCTTTTGTTCCATTTTTTGTCTCATGAATTATATTTATCTAGAATATTTTAGCACATTTTGTGCATGCTGGTTGCATGTGGACTTCCTAAGGCAGAGATGGAAAGTTTTAATTATCTGTCATGTTATGCTGCATACTGGAGTCTGGACTCTATCTCTTCCTCTTATTGTTCTCTATTTAATCACTATTATTATTGATAAAGTAGATGAAAGATTGTTAAGATATGCACCTTTTTTTGTGTGTGGATACCAAGTGCATTTAACCATCAAATGTTGCTAGCTTATTTTTTTTGGTACTTGTTGCTCTTTAGGTTGGACAAAGGTGTTATTGTGTATATATGTGATAACCGTGGTGTTCGAGATATTTATGAGGCTGATGGAAGCAATACTGTTGCAGCATCTGAACCGTTAACTGTGCTGGTATGATCTGATCTCTCTACACATCTAAATTTTAAATGGTCTCATGTGATTCTCTCCTGAGATCTTTATTAATAGTTGGATAGTATTATACTGCACAATGAGAGGAAGTGTTGCAAAATTGATAGTGGACCATATAAACTGAGAATTTATGTAGTTAATATAATTATTTTGATATATCACCCTTGTCAAAGACTGAAATGCAATGGATATATTTGTCCCAGTCGTAGAGTTGTCATTATAGTGTGGTCAGACAGATCAAGAGTCAAAATTTTCACTATGATTACACACATCATATTTCCTAGAGATAACTGTCTGGATGCTTCAGGATCATGTTCAAATCAAATAAGCTGTCACCTGTATCTTTGTGATCACTTCAATGTAGAACTAGGAAACCACTTATACACTTTGTCTCCACAGATGTTTTCGTTTTTGTTAGTGAAACCCCATAACATTAAATTATAGTATTCTGCAGCACTGCAGTTTGGTTTTGCAGGATGTTATATGCTCCTATGTTTCCCTATTTTCTACCTATGTGTATATATTTTTGCCAGTCAGAGTGTTCTTCTTTGATTATATGTTAAAGCGTTGGTCTTTTTTTTTCAGCTTTATTGGAAATGGAGGATTTGTTAAAATTTTCTTTTCTGTCGATAAGTGTGCTGTCTTCTTTACTGAATATGTTAGGTGAACAAAGGAACTGCAAGCGCAAGTGAAATATTAGCTGGAGCACTAAAGGACAATAGAAGGGCAGTATTATATGGGGAACCTACTTTTGGAAAAGGGTAATTACTTGAATGAGTGCAAGAATTAAAAGTGATTCTTTCCAACTTACTTTATGTGCTTGTGCAGAAAAATACAGTCAGTTTTTGAGCTTTCTGATGGCTCTGGATTAGCTGTTACAGTGGCTCGGTATGAAACCCCTGCTCACACTAATATTGACAAGGTTGGTATTCTGCTGTATGCCCATCCACCTCTTCTTTTTTTTGTTTTTGTTTTCTTTTCAAGTGGGAGGGATGAAATACTTGATTGCTTGTCAGCCTTAAATATCAAATGGGTGTTCACCTAGTGATATAACTTAGTATTGTCTAAATTGGATCTAATTTGAGTTTAATTATACCTTTTTGGCATTTGCATGGATATTTGTCATAATTTCTAAGCGTTGAGTTACAGTGGAATTAGAAAACCAAATAGAGTAGGAAAGTCTCTATCAAGCAGCCTTCGTCTGTTGACAATTTCTAAAAGGATCCAAATTTGTTAAAAAGAAGGGATCAGCTGAGAGAAATAAGAATTATGTGGTTTATTTTGTTTTTGTATCCCATGATAAAAAATATTCTTCAATTCACTTGTAGGAGTGCTTGTCTGGAAGATTAGCATCCATCCTGCCTTGTAACTTGCATGTATCCTGATATTTGTCTTTAATGTACACTAATCTGCATTGTAAAGCTTGGACTACACCCCATTCTGATTCCCCTACCTTGATTTTCTTACCAATCCACTCATGATTGCTTTTGCTTAGCACACTCATGATCAAGATATTGCTTTAGCGTACACTAATCCGCACTATGTTCAAGGAATTAGAACTGGATGGCAACCAGTGCAGGTTTTGGGCTTCTTATCTGGAGCGAACCTAGCCTGAACCAAACCTGGAAAGGCCTCATGTCTAGCATAGTTCTTAAGTAATTAATTTTCTTCGGAAAAACAATTTCTTGATGTGTTGCTTGTGTAAGTTTGATTCAAATTGACCTGATCTAACTCATACAGACTTGACAATATTGTAATGTACTGTAAACCTAGTAAACCAAGTAAACCGTGTTCTGAAGGGGAAGCAATAGAATGACAGTATTGTGACATACTGTTTATTGAATATTAGTGTAATCTGATGGTAGGAGAGCAAAGTTGATATTAGTTAATGATGTTATGTTTTCACTGGCTTTATAGAGTTGTTCTTCTTTACCTGTCCACTAAATTTATTTCTTTCATGGGCGTCAGTTAATGTTGTACCGGACACACCCAGAGATAACTTGGCTTTCCAATTTATATATTTGCACAAGTGGTTTTCATATTTACGTAATTTTTACTATTATTTTTTTTTTAACTTCATTTCAAAAATTCCTATTTCATATGTTTGAAGATGTATGATGATAAGTACTTATTAGCAAGAAAAAAAGAAAAAGAAAACGGTTTTTATCATTACTAAAAATTATGGTTGTTATGACTTGTTGCCTTTATATACTAATAACAAAAAGCTTGTTCAGGTAGGCATCAAGCCAGACCACCCCCTTCCAACACCTTTTCCGACAGATGAAGAAGAATTTTGCAGCTGCCTCAAGGATCCTTCCTCTCCTTGCAATCTTAGTAGTTCCCAGCTATTTTCGAGATGACAGAACCGAGCTGCTTTTTTGCCCTTTCTTTTCCTTTTTTTTTTCCCATTCATCATATTCAGTAAGATTTGCATGCTGCTGTTGTGAAGATAATGTGATATTCGTGATAATCAATTTATGTTTTCTTCTGTTTTCTTTTTCGCATTGTCTTGCAATTACTGGTGCAGACTTCACCATGCCAAGCCCGTATATTTCTTTCCAGCATTTATTTCTTCTCTGATGCTCACCCACTTGTACACTCCACTATTCAAATCTGAATTCAGTTTGTGTCTATATAATACTTTTCACGTGAATATTCAGTTTTGTGTTTTTTCCTTTACCTTGTTAACTGACAAGGAGATCCTTTTCGTTGCTCTTAATTCCACTTCGTTTTTCTGTAGGGTTCCCATGCATTACTGAGAACTTGAATCGTACTTTCTTTTTTTTCTTCTTTTTGTGTTTACCATATTCGTGAAATTTGCTGCTTTGATGGGTGGCTTTCTAGCGAATTTTTGTTTTAAGCTATATTATATTTATCAAGAAATCTGTCCCCAATATTCCACCTTTCTCCCTTTTATTTTAAATTTTTTCTTATCCCTTTTCGGCAAGAAATTCATGTGAGGAAAAATAATGAGATCTTATTCAGATGAGGCCTATGCGTAGACATATGTTTTAATACCGTAGTGATGCAACAGGGGGAGATAACCCTAAACGATCTTCCTTGCACTTTTATCCATGTGGGCTTAGGCATTTTTTCTTCTATGATATTTCATGTGGTGCTTATGTATAAGATGATGATTGACTATTAATATATTTCCTGTCATTTGTTTCCTCCCCCCTCTCAAGGCATGCTTTGAGGCTCTTGTTAGGAGGGCTCGAAATATGACGTTTAGTTCATCCGACATGAGAGCATTTGAGATCTCCTCTCGGGTCAGATTTTTCCGACTAATGCCTCGTGCGATAGCAGACATCGGGCTTTTCAACCTCTATGCCTCCAACGAAAGCAAAGGACGAGCGTCTTGACCTCCACACCTTGGGCGGAGGCGGGGGTTGCGCGTCCCAACTTTCACAGCTCATGCGACGGCAAAGGTTGGGCTTCTCAATCTCTGTGCTTCCAATGGAGGCGGAGGTCGAGCATCCCGATCTTCACGTTTTAAGCGGAGGTGAGTATCCTGACCTTCGTGCCTCGAGCAGAGGCAAGGAGGTTGGGCCTCCCGACCTCTGCCTTGTCCTTGCACAAGGCGTAGGTATCGGGAAGCCCGACCCCTACTTCGGTAAGAGGTGCTGAGGTCGGGATGCCTAACCTCCACATTTGCTTGAGGCACGAAGGTCGAGATGCTCGATCCTCGCCTTTGCTCAAATTGTGGATACTCGACCTCCACCGTCACACAAGGTGTGAAGGTCGGGATGCCTGATCCCACCTCTGCTAAAGGTATAGAGGTCGAGAATCCTGGCCTCCACCATTGAATGAGGCATGGAGATCGAGATGCCTAACCCCCACCTCCGCTAAAAATCTGACCTCCACCATCACACGAATCATGGAGGTCGATACGCCCAACCCCCACCTTCACTTGAGGCATGGAGGTCGGGATGCCTAACCCCCACCTCCGCCAAAGGTGCGATGGTAAAAAAGTTTGACCTCTGTCGTCACACGAGCCATAGAGGTCAAGATGCACGAACCCCACCTTTGTTCGAGGTGTGGAGGTCAAGGCACTCTACTCTCCTTTTGCTCAAGACATGGATATCGGGACGCCCAACCTCCACCTCCGCCTTTGCTTGAGGTGTGGAGGTCGGGACACCCAACCCTTGCCTTAACTTAAGGCATTATTCAGGAAAACCCGACCTGTAAGAGGTGATCTCAAATGCTCTCATGTTGCATAAACTAACGTTGCTTTTTAGGCCCCTCTAGCAAGAGCCTTAAAGCATGCCGGGGGGCGGGGGCGGTAGAGGGGACAAATAATAAGGAATATATTAGCTGCGAATCATCATCCGATACATAAGTGCCATGTGGAAGCTATCATGGAAGGAAAAGGGTCCAAGTCACCCTTGTTCGTCTACCTATGTGGACAAAAGTCCAAGGTAGATTATTCGAGGCTATCTACCTCCCGTCACCCATGTGGACAAAACACCAAGAGGGGGACATTGGAACGATTACAGTTTATCCCTTCCAAGGTTGGGTATAAAAGGTAATCCCCAATACTACGCTCTCTTTTCGAGCAAAAATCTATACCTAAAAAGGATCTTGGGTTAACTTAAGTATCGAAGGGATCGGGTTGAAAAATCTCCACTGATATCGATCTTAGTATAAGTGATGCATCGAGAGCTCAACGGTTCTACCATGGAGCCACCTCAGGATCACCTTCAAACGTCTCGAAGCTATTTTGGACACTCATGTGTCCTCATGTTTGAATAATAATGGATTAGCTTAGGCATTGACGATGATTTTTCTTGATTGAATATGAGATTTAAACTTATAATCTTACACCAAGATTTTACCAACTAAACTCAAAATATTATACGAGACAACGAGCAATGTTGGTAGTTAATTCTATTGGTGGCGAGATGCATTTGTCAATTTAGAAGTTAACGTCCTAACACGGAGGTCAGAAGCAGAAACCAGATAAATTGATTGACGTCACGGATGACGGCACCACGATGGGGGCCATGAATGCAGCAGCCATTACCATATGACAACTTAACAGCTCATCTGATGGACCAACGTGGAGTGAGTATGATTCAGCGTTCCATGCGACCAGTAACCCTCTTCTACAACTTAAACACTCTTGGATGATCCTGCGGCGTGTGGTTGTCAGATGTACCAATCTGTTGCCGGCTGCAACATTTTTGGTCATTATTTGGTGTTTGGACGCCCCAAACCTACGCTGTACAACAGCTACATTAAGGCGAATAAGATCAACAAGGCATTATGGCAATGAAAACAACATGGAGCCTACTGCGTACATCCACTTGAATCGAATAATGACTGCTAAACCACGACATGGATGATCAACGTAGAGCCGTAAATTTGTGGACCAACTGATTTGTGTTCCACTCACTCTTATAGCTCTTTCCATTTTTAACGCTCATCTTAGTTGTTCAAAAAAGAAAATAGAATATATATATATATATATATATATATATATATATGAAAATCCTTCTTTTGTATTTTTATTAGAACCATGCATCTTCTTTTATAGATGAAAATCACATGTTAAGCAAATCCAAGAAAAAGAGATATATATATATATATATATATATATATATATATATATATATATATATATATATATATATAATCTCTTATTAAATTAAATCCTAATGTAGCCGGAAAAGCATCAAAAGCTGAAGTTAATTTCAAATCAAATTAAATTATTCTTTAACATTTCCAAAGAATTATCTTGATTGATATACCGATGTTTTAGGACTATAAGATCCGTCATATTTTTCGTAAGGTTAATCGTTGTGCTTATTGGTTAGCTAATGAGGTTAAGTTTTGTAATTCTGATCAGATCTGGAGATCTAGTTTTCCTCCTAATGTATTGTCTCTTTTTATTTCTGATGAACAGAGCTTGGATTGTTAATATAGTTTTTTTCTCTTGAAAAAAGAAAGGAAGAATGATGAAAAGAAAAAAAAAATAAAGGAATATAGATAAACAGATAGATTCTGCTCTCTCTCTCTCTCTCTCTCTCTCTCTATCTATCTATCTACGATTCTTTCAGTGAGTGAAGTATTCTGTATCTCATGAAGCGCGCGAAGCTTCACGCGCTTGTCACCTACATTTATCACCATCATGGTATTGTTAAGGCATGCACAAAGACCAGTACAGCGTGCAGGCTCTCTCTCTCTCTCTCTCTCTCCCCTCCACGAGATTCTCTCTCCATCGTATTTATGTCTCTCAGCCCATCACTATCGCCTCCATGCCCACCATCTCCATGTAACCACCCCTCCAGCACAAATTAAGAACAGCGCATATAGGAATCCAATGAGAGAAAGCCCCCTAAGCGGGAGAGAGAGAGAGAGAGAGCGTGTGATATAGGCAAAACACAAGCCTCTGCAAGCAATGGGTGGCGTCATCAGCCGGTGCTGTAATAACAGCCATGAGTCGAACGAGGAACTGAGAGGTCGAGTTGTTGTGCTAGAAGAAGAGATCAGAGAGATGAAGCGCGCAAGGGAGCGTGACGCTTGGGCTTACGAGCAGCGCTTGGCGGACTTCGCCTCCAAGGAGGAGGAGTGGAAGCGAGAGATCAGGAAGAAGCAGGAGGAGGAGGAGGAGGAGGAGGAGAAGAAGATGCTGAGCAAGATGTCGAAAGAGGACAGGAGAAGACCATGCTTGGAGATCTGCGAGGATGACAAGGAGCGGCATTTCCTCGTGGAGTGCATGGAGGAGGAGCAAGCGCGACGGGAGGAAGCGGTCGCCAAGTGGAAGCAGCTCTATCTCACCATAAAGACCGAGCTCGATGACCTCATCCAAAGGACTCGTGAAGGTGAGTGTCTCCGCCAATTCATTCCCCTACGCCATTTGTCTGCAAGATTAAGTCCTCTCAGATAACTATCTATACTTTTCATGGTAACCTTGTCATAGAACACACTACACACACACACACACACACAGAGAAGAGAGATTAGAGAGAGAACACACGCATAAACCGAGCGAACTCTTTTGCATACCTTCGTTCATGCGTTTCGACAGTGGATCAATGTGCTTGGAGTGGTTGGAGGAGCACCACCAAGTTGATGTCAGTACTTCTGATGTATCCATTTATTTAGGGCCTTCGTCAGAGCTGAAAGAAGACAAAACAAACATCAATAGTTCCCATGCAGCCTTGTGGATCAAAACTTGCAAAACAATAATCATTTCCAAAACTTCTTTTTCCTATTTTCTTTTGCAATCAGTGATATGTTTGCTGAGTCTTCCTCTGCTAAGCCATGTATGACCCAATTATGAGAGTCCAACGTCCATGTACATGAACGTACGACCAACCTCCCCCTGTTCTTCACAATAACTACTCATTAACTTCTTTGTTACCATTGACTCGATTGTATCACTGACTACTATCTGGGAACAGCAACAGGAGCTATAGTGAATTGAGAGAAACAAAAAACATGTATCTTGTTACCATATCCGACAACTAATTCCAGGAACTCGTAGTTCTTTCTACC